TTGTTGACGGTGTGGCTGCGTTGCTTATCGCTCAAGTTTTTCCATATGCCAAGATTTTCACTTGAACGTTAATTTTGTTGTTTCTCAGGGATGGCGCAACAAAATAGAGACGGGACATTCGTAAACTGTTTGAGTAGCCCCACCCTTTGTAGCATAATTTGTGGAGGTACGCATATACTCTCTAAAGTAGAATCAGTGAAAATATCACTAATTGAAACAGTAAAATAAAATTTCACTGAGAATCAGTGAGTATTTCACTGAACTTCAGTAGAACGTTTACTTTTTGTTTCTTTATCTTATATTTCACTGATTATGGTCAGTGAAAGTAAGATATCACTGTAAAATCAGTTATCTGTTGGTAATGCTAAATGATGGTCCGAGGAAGCGGAACAGGATTGTGATCTCAGTGATGTGTGAAACAGAAGACGAGAACGAAGTATACGTGACGAAGGACGAAGCGGTGCTAAGTGTACATTACGAAGAATGAGAGAAACTGCGGTACTGAGCTAAGCGTGCTTGCAAAAAAGGTGAGGTTAAAAGTACGAAAGCTTCTTGAGCCGTAGTTCATTTACCGCGGGTACTGACGAGTACGGTGGCCCATGCAACGGGGCGAGGTTATAGTTTGCCAACGGGGCAAAGATGGAGGCCCAACGGGCCCATAGTAAAGCGCGATAAACTAGAGACTGTTTCTCTTTTTTCATTTTCAGCATAAACCACGGCGTATTGAACCAGAGAACTGAACATCGAACAGAATAAGATTATTAATCTCGGTTATCGTTGGAAACTTATCAAAAAGGAGTAAGTCTTTTATTTTTTATTCTTATAATTTCTCAGTATAAATTGATTGTTAAAACACGATTCAAATATTTGGATGTTTAATTTCAGAAGAACATTGATAAGGGACAACATGATGATCCTCCTATTTTTCCAAATTCTTCGTTGATACAGATATGGCCTGTAAGTTTGGTTAGTGCATTTAAAAGTTATATATTAATACTTGCTACAGAAAAATCTTTTTTTTAGGAAGGAACAAACATAGAGGCACAAGCTCGTAAGCTAAGGAATGTTTAATTTTTAATTGACTTCATTCTGTAAACATTTTGTACGTAACAATTACATTGTTGAATAAAAAATTATAACATGTATTAAGGTTATTACTTTTTGTTACTGTTTGCTGGGACATTTACTGATTTAATCAGCTTGCATTGCTGATTTTGCTTGCATTACTGATTTTATCAGCTCACATTACTGATTTTGCTGCTTTAAGTCACTGTTTCTAGTAGTCCAGTATTACTGATTGAAACAGTCAATAATAACTAATTCTTTCAGTGAAATGTCACTGATTCTCAGTGGTATACTTATAACTGCTTCAATCAGTGACTATTTACTGTTTCTCAGTAAAAATACACTGATTCTCTTTTAGAGAGTATATAT